CAGGGAACAGAACAGGTATCAGGAAGCACAGGGAACAGAACAGGTATCAGGGGGCACAGGTAAGAACTCATTTAACAGTACAGGTAAGAGGAACAGGTGACAGGAAACAAAGGTAACAGGAGTAATAGGTGAAAGCCTGACAGGTAAGAGGACGCAGAGAGGAAGCGAGGGGTAAATCCCCACAGGTGCACATGGAGGGGTAACGCTTGTAGAAGACGTAATAACCTGTTCAGTTCAGTTGTCATTCTATACCAGCCCACCTGGAGAGAGTCTCTAACCTCGTTGGTGCGCAGTGCTCATCACGCCTTGCTGCCACGGCGACACACTCAGAGAGAAGCTAATTGGAAGAGGGTCCTAATGTGGGAGGAGCCAAGCGAGACGGAGAACAGGTGTGAAAATAACACTTTCATAATACGACACCCCTCGTTAGGTATCTTATTATAATTACATTTCTTTTCCCCTCAGAGCACCACCTGCTTCTGATGCCTCAACACGATTGGCTGGCTCGTCTCACAGCCCCTCCTCTGAGAGGGGTGTTTCACATGCCACCTCAGAGGCTCCTCCTCCTCACTGCTCTTCTTCGTGTAAATCTCTGCAGACGAATGAGGACACGTCCAGTCAGCAGGTGACGTGATGAACTCACTGTGTACTGTGATGTCATAAAAATTATGTAATAGCAACAGTCATGTGACTGTGTGTGTTTGGCGTTGAAGACAGTGGCGTTGCTGACAGACGTGAAGAACCTACAGAGGGACCGATGGTGAGAACAAAGAAAAACAGAGCCAGATGGTTTTATCAGCCTCGTGTTTATGTTTGTTTGTTTCTTTTTATCTTGTTTTGTTTTAGTTTGCTACCTTATGTTGTTTGTTTGTTTGTTTTTCCCCATCAGGCTGTTGGAGCAGGAGCTCCAAACGTTTCGGCTCACTGTCCAATCCGAGCAGGGCATCCTGGAGGAAAGGTGCTCTGAGATGGAAGTTACTGTGGAAACATTGACGCGGTACAATGCTCAACTGCAGGGCATGCTCACACAGGTGAGTGGATGTGGGCGGAGTGATTGGCTGATGACTGCTGAGGTGCCTTCTATTAGTTGTAGCTGAAAATGTTGTTCTTCAGGCTCTGAACAAGATGGAGGCTCAACAACACGCCAGCAACATGCCAAACAGTGCCAACACGGAGAACACAGAAAGAGGAACCATCACGCCAACTTCTGACACTCTGAAAAGCACAGAAGAAGAAACAGAGGAGGAAGAGGAGATAGAGGATGAGTGGAGCCAGGAAGAACTTCAAACTCAAACATCTCCCACAATCCACCAGGGCTCACCTCCCTCACCTGATGGAGACTGTGAGGAGTCTGCAGGTCGCATGTCTCCACATAATCCAGTAGAGCTACAGCATGGCCCTGAGGAGGCGGAGCTACAAGGAGAACGAAACAGTCTGTCTGAAGAAGAGGAGGAACATGGGCCACGTAGTTCAGAGACGCTGCTGCAGGGGACTGTAGAACGACTGAAGGCTGCGCTGGAAACACACAGGTGGACTCAGACAGGTGAGGCACAGACAGGTGACTGAGACTGCAGAAGGAAACGGAAATGACTGCCTGAGGTCAGACTCACCTATCAGGTGAGCACACACCTGACAGTCAGTACCTGTAACAGTCAGTGCATCATTTACACCTGCTGCATATCCTTTCCAGCTCAGTCTCTTTGCCAAGCCAGTTAGCACAAGTCCTTTCTTCTTCATCTCTTTGATAACTTTGTCCTTCAAACACTAAAATTAATGTTACATCATGTTTCTAACTCTGTGTCCAGGTGAGAGGGCGAGGGCGGAGCTTCTGCAGGCTGCTGAGCAGGTGGGAGACTTGATGCTCCACCTGGTCGACGCTATGGAAACAAACTCACCAGCTGATTCGTCCAGCTTAGAAAACTTTATTTAAAGATTAAATAAATGCACAGATACAAAAAGTATCAAAGTTCACCTGTAGAAAAGTTACCAAAACATAACGTGTTTCTATGGAGACGTGAAGCTGCCAGGATCATCATCAAGTCGTCATGTTTCATGTGATGTTTTACAAACATGAATTTAAATAAAACATGAAATTTCTTTTGTCATATTTTTTTAACATTTCATCCGAATTTTGTTTACACACAATAAATAAAATCCATTCATAATTTTTATTCCAATGCTTCCCAAATAAAACTTTAAAATAATTAAATTAAAACAATAAAAGCTCTTCAAAATGGACAGATTAAACTTTATATTTAGATTTTTAACTTTAAAAATTAACATTTTAAAACAATCAGATTTGAAAACATAATTATGGCCAAAACAAACCTGGCATTTAAAACACACCTGGACAGGCAAGTCGTACTACAAACACAGTAAAAATGATAAATGGATTCAGTTTTCATTTTAAAATTGGCACCAGCAGGCTTCCATACACTTCTAACAGCCTAATTAAAGGCTACATTATCCAAGAATAACTGATCAATAACCCATCAATAACCAGCACCATCAGGTTTCATGAAAAATAAGACTTCATTTTGAAAATCAGCTATCGCCGCGACCTGCGGCCCCTCCTCCGGCGTGATGACAGTAAGGGGGCGGGGCCTGCAGAGATTGGGGGTTTCCTGCCAGGTCCAGCCCGGCGCAGCCCCTCCCTCCTTGGGTGAAGGGGTGTGGCCTGACCCCTGGTTTGTATCTGGGAGGGTGGAGGGAGTGCCCTCTCCCTTCTAGCCCCTCTTCTGCTCTCTGACAGCCTGTTGAGGGGCGGAGCCTGAGTTATGTCGGACTGAGCAGAGTCCCTGCTTAGCGTGCTTAGCAAAAGGCTGCTGCTGTGACCTTTGACCTCTGTGGGTGTTCTATCGGTGTTCAGGTCCGGGCTCAGACTCCTGAACAGCTGACGAACACAGGGCGGCGGTGGCCCAGAGGGGGTGGAGCCTCTGCGCCACAGGAGGCCTCTGGGTGGGTTCTTGAGGATACGGTTGGAGGCGGGGTCGTAGAACCGGACAGGAAGTCGTTTGTATTTGACCTTTAACCCCTGCTGCTCCAGCGGGCGCCGTTTCTTTCTGCAGCGTTTGTGGGTGGAGCCTATCGCTGACATGCGGTTGGGGGCGGAGCCTGATGGGGAGGAGAGTAGGTAGACCAGCGAAGTGCGTGGCTGTACAGGTGTGATGATGCTGGAGTACGACGAAGGGAGAGAACGCCACGTTGGCACAGGTGTCCTCTCAGCTGCCTCTGGATTGGCTTGTGGGTAGTCGATGGGTGGGGCCTCAGGGGATAGCTGATGCACGGCGGGAACGACCAATCGGACTGTCTGAGTGCTGTGACTGACCTTCACCACCTGCAGGAACAGTGCAGATGAGACCTTGTTCTTTTGCAGGAACTGACAGCGCTCTAAGTCACATGACTCACCTGACACCTTGATGCCAGTCTGAAGCTCCGCCTCCTTCCCCTCCTTCTTCTCATATACACATAGTCCCCCTCGTCTGGGTCCTGCAGGGGTAGCATACCTGCATCTGGCTCCACCTCCTCGGGTTCAGCATCCCCCTTCATTTTCTGGCTCCGCCTACCATACCTGAGTTTGATGACATCAGCAGAGAGAGTCATGGGTGTGATTTACGACCTGAACATGGATTACCCGCAGAATAAAAACCTCATTTTAGTGGAAAAGTTGCGTGACAGCGACCACTTCAGCTCTTATACCTGAAGTATCTTAATCCAGGACATCTTTAACCAGGATGTTATTGGCTACTTTTACTACCTAACTCAAACTGCAAACTTAAGGAGACTCAGGCAGGTCTCTAGACTAACGTTTTGCCATGGCTGCACTGGTGCACCTAACAACAAAAGTAACAAAAGTTACGTGCACACAAATTTTTCAACCACATCGCTTAACGCCGCAGCTTTACATGTTCACTTTGTTTTTAACTGCTGTCCATACAGACAATGTTGATTTGTAAGTGATTAACTAACAATCTTGTCAACACAAAGTTCTTTATTTGGAGCAAATTTCTACAAGAAAGATAAGTTACCGTATTTTTCAGACCATAAGGTGCACGGGTTTATAAGGCGCATTAAGCGAAACCAAACAGTCAGATAAGTCTTTAATAAACTTTACTCAACTCATTCTTCTTGCTTCCTCTACTTCTGTATTATTGATTCATTAATGTTGAATTCTCTCTCAGCTGCTCTATTCCTGCGTGACTGATAAGAGTTTGAAATCCATGTCGTTAGCATGTCTCTTAACAGGAGCCATTTTGGGGTCCTTATACACACACAATACGGTAATATTATGCTGAAGCACAGTGCGTATCACTACACGAGGCTCCTGACTGTGGTAGCAGCTGTGCTCCAACAATCTATCAAGCGGTGCGGCTTCATAGCTTACCAAAGAGATGCTGAACCATTTTCACAGATCTTTGAGCGCCGTGTACATAAAATCGTTTTGTGGTCAGTAAGCACAACCAGAATTCATACATAAGGCACACTTTTGAGGAAATTAAAGGATTTTAAGTGTGCTTTATAGTCCTAAAAATACGGTGCAGAAAAAGTTCTTGTGCTTAAAGTGCTTCACTGAGCTGAAATTTAAACTTAAAATATCTTAAGATATATAAAATTAAAAGAAAGTCAAAATTAAGTGCCTCAAAGGTTTTGAACTGAACATCTCAATATCTGAACACCTTACCTTGTGCATGGGCACCTGAGAGGTCCCGACCTTGACTATCTCTGATTGGTTTGGACCACGATATGGGCATAATGTTGTCTGTTGTTGGCCACACAGAGACTTTCAGAGTTGCGGAGACTTTTTTTTTTTTACTTGAACCTAGGATTTTTTTTTGTCGCACCTTTGAGAAATTAGGTCGCATTTGCAACCAAACTGGTCGCACTCTAGAGCCCTGTCAGGTAAGCTCAACTACCTTTATGTAAGCTCAGCTGACTTCTTGTTTCCTGTGGATTGTAATATTGGCAGGTTCTGGCTCACCTGGCGAGGGACTCTGTGTCGAAGTAGCAGATGAAGCGCCCACGCCTGAACTGTCTCACCAGCCTCTCCACCTTCTCCTCGTCCTCCTGCTGGATCTGGGTCCAGGTCTTCCCCCTGAAGGATTCTGGGATACGCTCCGGGGCGGGCCTCACCTCCTCGATGGGTAGGGTCCAGAACCCCTCCTCCGTCCTGTCACCCGGCCCGTGGAGGGCAAAGTGCAGCTGCTGTGAGTACACTCTATCTTCCACGTCCACCTGCGTGTCCATCAGATGGCAGAGGTCCCGCCCCTCCGCCTGACTCACCTGCGCAGGTGAGTCACTGAGAGTTCGCGCTCGTTGCAAAACCACCTGCAAGGTGACATCAGTGATCAGTGTCTGCGCTTGTCAGGACACGCCCAATTCTTCCCTGGACCCACAGGTACCTGCACAGGCGAGTCCCAGTCTTCACTCTGTGTTTCCATGGAAACAGGGAGGCTTAGCTGGAAGCTGTCTGTATCAGCTTGGCAGGAAATGGCGCCATAACAGCACCTTTGAATCACCTGCGGGTGGAACAGAGAGACTTGTTGACAGGAAGTCCACCTGGGAACCATCAGTGTACTGGAACAGGAACTAACCTCCTCGATGGTCTGGTCCAGAGGGTCCGTGTGGCCTGAGGAGAATGCATCCTCTCTGTGGGCCTCCCTCCTCTCCCTCTGCCAGGTGAGCCAGGGCCTCTCACCTGGACCAGGCCTGTGGTCTGTGGGGGTCAGGTGGGGTCGGGGGCCATGGCCTGGACCTCCAGGGCGCTGCGAGGAGGACGAGGACTCACTGGTTTTCCTCCTGTTCGTCTTCCTATGGGCTTTCCTATGGACAGGGGGCGGAGTCTCCAACTGAGAGGCCGGCGCTCTGCGGTAAGGAGAGTGGGTGTGATCAATGATGCCTTCGTCCTGCTCTCTTATAGGTACAGACAGCCTCTCCTGGCCCACTCTGTCGCCTGACTGGCTGCAGGCATCATCTTCTTCCATCGGACGGGCTGGGTGACAGGAAGCGTCATCAGAGCTGGGCAGGCATTCCCGGGTACCTTGAGACTGGCTGTCGTCGGACAAACAGACTTCATCGAGCTCCGCTTTTGGCAATGGGGGGGTGGAAACTGATGGGAGGTCAGTGTGAGACGGCCTGAGGCGGACAAACAATTGGACAGGTAAATAAACAGGTTTGTTTGAGTTGTCAGAGGTCTGCGCTATGAAACCCTGAAGCTACCTGTCCTATCCAGGTAACTTCAGGGGTGACTGTGGATTTACAATGAAGGTAGTTCACTTATTACTGGGGTGTCTACCTCCTAAGTCTTGTGTGATTAGCTGTCTCAGGGTGCAGACTGTTGTAAACTCTAACTTCCAGGGATCCATAAGAAACAGGATTTATTAAGTTTCATGTAGCTAGAGGTTAGCAGGGAGTTAAAAGAAGTCCCATAAATGAAGACAGAAAACTAAACAGCAGTGACGTTTGTAGGGTGACTGAAGGTGGACCTTCAGTCACCCCCAACTCCCCCCAGTTTTTAGATGTGTCCGTGATCCAACACAGCTGATTCAAATGGCTGAATTACCTCCTCAACATGTCTTGCAGTTCTCCAGAGGCCTGGTAATGAACTAATCATTTGATTCAGCTGTGTAGACCCAGGGTGGGATCTAAAACCTGCAGGACACCGGCCCTCAAGGTATATTGGTGTTCTACCTACAGAGCTATGGTAATATAAACACATTAGCACAGTGAAGCTGGACGACACAGCTAACTTTCCCCCCTCAATAAAAGTTTATGTGAGAGTTCCTGATGGGCAAATGCAAATGAAAAGATACTGAGAACAGCCCAAACTTCATCTGAGATCATCCATCAGCAACATGAGGTTAGTCACTGTGTGGTCTGTCCTGATGCTCAGCTTCATGTACACGTTCAAATCTTTGTTAGCCTCAGAGTGACTCTTTTCTCATCCACTAGAACAGGGGTCGGCAACCCTAGGCACGCGTGCCAACTGTGGCACGCGAAGGGTTAACTGATGGCACAGCCATAGCTGGACTGGCCATTGGTGACCCGATGATTATTTTTTAATTTTTTTTTGTAACGGTATAAACAATGAAAGGTGGTGGATTGGCCAGATGCTGGCCGGTGTGTAAAAATAACTCAGTTGTTTGGTGGTGGCATCGCGGAGCTTCCACAGATTCAGTAAAATTAACAAGTGGTGGAGGCCAGCACGTGGATGAGGGCGATCGGAGGCAGGACGAGGAGAGCCCCAAGGCGGCCGCCGGTGTTCCAGATCAACTGGCGTTTAGATCAACTGGCGTTTAGATCAACTGGCGTTGGTCGAACAGATGTGTGGCAGACTTGCGTTTCAGGAGCTGCTACCTACAGACCAGCAAAAAAACGCCAAATGTGTCATCTGTGACACTTGTGAGGTTGTCTCAAACACACTCAGTCAGTCTTGATGCTGTTGAACAACAAAATGTTTAAAAATGTGGCGAGTTTACCTGGTGATATCCTCATGCGCGACGCGATCGCGAAAACAGCAAACAAGTAACACCACGCCGATGTCGTTCACAGGACAGCAAGAGTAAACGATCGGGAGACTCTAGTCGTCGCTATCGTTCCCCTCGCACGTTTTATTTCTCCGGTTTCAGCGTTTTTGCTTCACAACTAAAGCGAGCTGTTTACTTTGTGTGCACCAACATGGACTCGAATCAACCAGCGCCACCTCTGGCCAAGTGCCACAGCCTACAGCCATATCAACATGTGACACACATCTGCACCACGTTTGAATTCGTGTCATGCACAACACATTTGTACCGTTCAATTGTCTCTGTTTGTGCGTCATGCAAATAAACCTTTGAAATGAATGAAATGATATCATGTTTGTATTATCAGCATACATTTGTACAAAATGCCAAATTATATACACAAAGTCATAAGAATCACCACCCTTGTTCATCATGATATCAATACTTTTGCCCATCAGAAAAATGTCGTGAACAAATACATGACACACTAATATTTCACCAGCGTCAGGTGAACTGACCTTCAGGTAAGAAGTTATGACCTGCAGTCTATCTGGTCAGATATAAACCAAGTTCAGGTGGAGTTTATTTTCCTTATACTGACTTTTTACAGTCAGTTACAATAACTCGTACTGCTACCAGCTAGCATGACGGAGTTTCTATACAGCTGGGTGGGTGCTATGATGTTACTGATGTTGAACTTTATTTAATTTCATAAGGTTAGTTAGTAGAGTTGCCAACCGTCCCGTAAAAAGACGGAATCCTCCCGCAAAATATTACGCGTTTCATGTTGAGCTGAGAGGGGACGCAGTTTGTCCCGGACTTCAGCTAGAATGAAAAAAGACACAAAGGTGGAGTTATTCTGTCTTTGCTGCACAGCTGCCTCTTCAGCTGTATCCCAATTCAGGGTCTGCAGCCTTAAAGGCCGCATTTTAAGGCTGATTACGTCACAGCGACACGACGAAGGCTGTCCCAATTCAAAGGCTGCTCGAAATGCAGCCCTCAAATGCGTCCTTCAGTTCCCTGAATTTTAAGGATGTGGCGGTGTAGACTTCGTGGCCCAACATATCCCAGAATGCATAGCGCGGCGGTGAGTGTGGATAATTTTGCCGAAAATAAACGGCGGATGAGGGGCGCCCGAAGAGTAAACTTTAAGTAAGTGCTGAATATGACGTCACTTCTTTATGTGCAAATGTTTAATAACGAAGAACATTAAACATTCCTGTTGGCCACGTGTTGGCAAAGTTATGTGATATGACGTTTGTACTAACTTGGTTTTAAAGCCTTTACTTTAAAATATACGCCGTTCAATAGCTGAGATTAATCTTACAGAGAATGATCAAAGCTCATGTAGAAACAAACAAATGAACAAAAGATTTTCTCCTTCATTTCTGTCAAACACAGCTGTATGACACGTTTCCAGCTGTTAGTATCATGGTTGCTAGGCAACCTGGGCAGCGCGACGGAGGCTAGACCGTCACCATTTCACAAGCCTCGCACTTCCGGCCTTAGCGGTCTTTGAGTACGCGGCCCTTGAGGATCGTTAAGGCTGCAGACCCTGAACTGGGATACAGCCTTCTCCTCTCATTCTCTCTCCTGTTGCTACTTTAATCATGAAACTGATCAATGATCAGCTGATCGGCTTTTCTCTCTTGTTTGTTTATCGCCCACTTTGTGCCAGAAAGAGGAAACCAGCGGATGTCGCGCTAAACAACAGCAGCACGTTTCAGCTTGATCAGCTGTTGTTAGAATTTATTTAATATTAATTTCTAGTATCAGCTGATGTTTGCTGGAGCCACAGCTGTAAAGCTGCTGGTCATGATGTCGGTTTGGATGTGTGGTGAGAGGGAAACCAGATGAAACCAGGAGATGTCCTTACTGAACCATCAGAGCTGAACAGGTGATGGAGAAACAGGTTTACCTTTTAGGTGACATGAATGAGTTGAAGTTATGAACTGTTTCTGAGAGACAAATAACACCAGGATCCTTTTCTAAGTAGCTGACAGCTGGTAACTGTGCAGGGGCGGGTCTAGCAAAGTGTTGCCAGGGGGGCAGGTAGGGCATTAACAGGGAAAGGGGGGCACAAAGAAATACTTCCTTATTCTCATTTAAAATGTCTGGTTGTTATTAAATAATTATCTGAAGCTTACAACCAAAGTTTTTATCTGATGTAAAATGTATAGAAATCATACATATACCAACAAGACTGTACATCACTGTCACCACAGCGTTTGTTTTCATTCAAAGGCTTTATGGCTTTAATACCTGGTGGGCCGGTCTTTAGTCAAAATGCCCGGGCTGCTAAAAATAACTTACTGGTGAGAGGGACGTTGTTAGCTTTCCACATTCTGACATTTCAAAAGCTTCAGGAGCTTTCTGCTCAGCACAGCATCAGCACCACGGAGATACATGGATACATCCGTAGACTTGAGACACAATGCATTTTTGGGACTTTCAGGTGTTTGGACCAATGTTTTATTTTCTGATCAAACCAGAAATCTTTAATGAGCAGCTGGATTTGTCTCACGATAACTGGCTGAGGTAATGCCAGTTAATGCAACATCGAAGCAGCTGGAATCCACAGCTGTGCGTGTTCATGGAGCTGCATGTTCACCTGCTGGACATCACTACCTGACCAGTTTAACTGTCTTCAGAACATTGCAGAGGCCTTATTGACAGTATTTGGCTCTACATATCTGTGTGAGCAGATTTTCTCTCACATGAGTGTCCTCAGGTAGCCTCTGAATGCTGGACACTCAGAGACCTGTGCCTGGGAGACCAGAGATCACACTAACATGTGTGTCTCTGTATTAACAGACATGCCATATTGGCTTAGTTTTCTTATCATTCTTGTGAGGAGACCATATATAGCATTTGTATTTTCTGTTGTACAGTCCATTTGCTGTTATGGAGTTCTTGTTATGGATAAAAAGTGTCTTTTTTGTTTCAAAATAGCTGATAACTATTCGCTGATAGCTGCCAACATCTGCGAACAAAAATAATTCTATAAAGTGGTTCTACAGGGTGGGCCATTTATATGGATACACCGTAATAACATGGGAATGGTTGGTGATATTAAAGTCCTGTTTCTGGCACATTAGTATATGTGAGGGGGCAAACTCCTCAAGATGGGTGGTGACCATGGTGGCCATTTAGAAGTCGGCCATCAATGGCGTGTTATGTTACGTTACGTTGAAACCAAGCACACCATTGTTTTTCTTGTGACATTACCAATAAGTCTGATGTGTCACATGGCCCTCTTCCTATCCGGTTGTTCAGTGATGACGTGACGAATCCTACTTCCGGGTCTAAAGTAGTCTGCGTTTAATATGGCTTTTGTGTTGTTAACATGTTTAATGTTATGTATTTTCTTCTATTTGATCTCAAAAAGCTCCTAAAACAGTCAGTGATCACTGTTGACCTCCCTCGGCTTTTATTACCGCTAATCATTTATTTAAGCTCAGTTTTTAAAACCTTAGGATGTAACTACAGCCCAGCCCATGCAGCAGTATATGAATGACTAACCTCGTATTGTGGATGGATTATCTCAGTTGTTCTCCTGGCTGAAGTTTGGTCCTTTTACAGCATCCTGCCATGCGATTACATTTGTTTCTGACCACCGAGAAAACTCACGTTAACTTTTATCGAGTGGAAAAAAAAGTAAGCTTGTTTATATTATGCTAACATAGCTATGTCGCTAGCGGTCACGTAGCACATCATTATATACCAGCTAGCCAAACTTCAGTAACCCTACAAACGTCACTGCTGTTTAGTTTTCTGTCTTCATTTATGTTGGAAGTGATAACAGAGCTGTACGTTTTAATTTGTTTCCAAAACCCCGCAGTCAGGACATGCTATATTGTATTTAGATAGAAGCTAGCGAGCTAACTCCCTGCTAACTTCTAACTCCGTTAAATGTCATAAATTCCATTTTCATGGATGCCTGGATGTTAAACTCAATTGTTACACCTGGTAGAGCAGAACGCTGATCATTTTATTAAAGATGAAAGACTTTAGACAGTTTTTCAACTCTCAGTAATGCCATAGTGATCGTTTGATATATGGAACTGCAGCGGAGTTTAGACCCAGACACGACTAGTGACGTCAGACTGAACAACCGGATTGAAAAAACAAAAGTTGTATCCACGATGGCCGACTTCTAAATGGCCACCATGGTCACCACCCATCTTGAGGAGTTTGCCCCCCTCACATATACTAATGTGCCACAAACAGGACTTTAATATCACCAACCATTCCCATGTTGTTACGGTGTATCCGTATAAATGGCCCACCCTGTATATAGTGTGTAACTGTTAATATAGAGCGTTATTAAGTTGATTGCTAATGCAATCATATGGCACACTGACCTCTGAGGAAATTTTAAATGGCACTCGCCATCAGAAAGGTTGCCTACCCCTGCGCTAGAATATTTGGTGTCTGGCAAACCAGTCACAAAGCTCTGGCCACTGTTACCAGGGTCCCATGTTACCAGGGTAACAGCGGACAGATGATAAAAGGAGAGGAGAGGGAAGGTGAGACTGAAAATACAGAAAAACAAACATATTTCAGTCATCCAAGAGAGATCCCATATACCACATAATAACCACAGTGAGTTTCTACTACTGGAGCCACTGTGGAGTTTTTCCCTCCGTTTACCTCAGCTGTCTATGTGAGAAGCCCCCACCTTTATTTACTCTGGAACAGGCTGAAAACGATGTGAGTCAGAGAAGCTCACTGCTGACAGCGATACTGAGGCTATCCTGAAATTTTCCGTGGGTAAGTGTTTTGCTCACTTAATCCCGTTAGCTGTTTTTAGTTTGCATTAATGAATTTGTCTTTGAAGTAGATCTAAGTTTGTTGGACAAAGTTGTAGGATGTGAGGAAGTAATCAAACTGAGGGAAAGCGTAATTTTTAGGACACTCGAGCCTAACAGGAGGTGGCCTAATGTTAGCTTATAACAGCTCTTTTTGTTTAGCCGGCTCGCTGTCACGGAGACAGGACGGTCACATGTCTAATCAGCTGACAGTGACAGTACTGGTGTGCAATCATAGACATTAATTCTCAGAATATTTCACTGGTAGGGTTTTAATCCTCTGATAGTGTCATGTTTGTAGCAGGTGACACTCACGGGGATCGTGTTCTGTCACATGGTGCCAGCTCCGCCCCTTTCATGTGAACACACAGGTTAAGACTGTCACAGGTGCATCTATGTGGGTTACCTGGGGTCGTCGTAGCGATGTGGGTGGTGCTGCAGAACGTCCTCGAGGAAGCGCTCCAGCAGAGTCAGTCTGTTTCTGCCGCTTGCTGAGGTGGACCCTGAGCCTCTGGAGGACGCCCGGACTGAATCCAGGTGTCTGAGACTGGACAGGTGCTGGAAAAGACACACAACGTGATCAGAGAGTCACATGACCTAAGGGCACGTTCAGGTTCTCCTGTGACGTGTGTGCATACCTGGTCCAGGTTCCTGTACAGGACTCTGCAGTAACCACAGTAACCCTGTCTGCTGGGCTGACACCTGGATGGGCCAGGCTGAGGCTCCGCCCACATCCTGTCACACAAACAACACATGTGACCACACCTATCTCACCTATCTCTGATACAGAAGCTGAACGCTCCTGCACAGGTACACTCACCTGCTGGTAGGCTCAGCCTTCCTCTGGTCATCTGAAAGAAACACACAGTGTGAGACAGATATCACCTGTGTGTGTGTGTGTGTGTGTGTGTGTGTGTGTGTGTGTGTGTGTGTGTGTGTGTGTGTGTGTGTGTGTGTGTTCTACCTTCATCAGAAGAGTCGGACATCCTGACTGGAGATCTGGAAACAAACAGGTGAGAGTCACACCTGTAGCTGTCAGCACACACGCAGGTAGATAGATAGATAGATGGCGGCGTGTACAGGCGCAGCGGCGTCAGAGTGGAAGTTGTGTGTGTTTGTGAGGGACTATGTGAAACATCTGGTGTGTGTGTCTGGTTTCAGTACTCACCTGGAGGACGTGCAGTCAGTGACCTCTCTCTCCAGTCACAGTGCTCCATGCTGTAACCAGTGGTAAGGTGAGTGTGTCCATGAGCCTGGAGCTACAAACGGGAAGTGATTGATTATGGGTCAGAAGTCAGCGGAACACACTGGCCTGTCTGATCATGAGACAGGAAGCCTCTGATTGGTCCAGGTAAACCTGCAGCACAGACAGTCCATTATGCAGCCAGGTTGAAAACACCTGAGGGTGCTTATTTATCGCATCATACACACTCACAGCTCAGTAATGTGACTGGCTGTGTGAGGACGGGGCTTGTACAGCCCTAGTGAGGGTTTGTGATGTCACAGCTCACAGGTAATATGGCTGTTGAGTTGGAATTATTAAGGTTAAAGGTCACAGAGCCTGAAACAGCTGTTTCTTAACTGTGAACACTTCTAACAGCTGCCAACAGGACAGCCCACCTGAGCTTCACGGGCCAATAGGAACACTGGTAAACCCGCCCCCTTGCAGAATGACGTACTCCCATTGGCTGTTATTCTCTGTCACTCACTTTGGTCAGCCTGGTGTGGGCGGGGCCAGCAGCTGTTTGATTTAAAGTTAAGGAAGCATACCGTTGGCACGGGAACCATCTGACTGCACATATACAGTCAGACACACACACCAACACAGCATCAGCACCAGGGACTTACCTGGCTGCGTCACCATGGTACATGATCAGAACACCTGGTTGGGATCAGGTGATGTTCAGATTACGATCGCCTGCTGAGTCACAGCTGATCCCTGATAACTGATCATTAACGTTAACAGACGTCTTTCAGTAGAATGTCAGAGGCTCTTCACGAAGCTCTATTCATCTGCTCAGAGACGTACCTGAGGAGGCCTTTGACTCCTGCCTCGTGGTCACATGACCTGTTACACATAGGGATGGGTACCGGTGTCCGTTCTGACATAAACGGTAGTGACCAGACCGAAAAGCAGCGCACATTTCGGTGATTTTTTTCCCTGAGCTGTGATACGCTTTAGATTCTAGCCAATCATTTTACGTTTCCGAGGATAGTGGGTGGGGCCAGGTACGTACGTTCTTTTAGAGCAGAGCTACAGATTAAAAATGCCCAAGGTGAAGCGGTCAAAAGTCTGGCTGTACTTCACAGCAACAGATGCAAACTCAGCAGCCTGCAACAAGTGCTTTAAGCTGATACTGTGATACTGTCAAAGGAGGTAACACCTCGAATCTGATGAAACACCTGGCGACGCAAAGCGTTTTTTTTTAAAGCCGAGAAATGCGCCGTATTTGATAGCTTGCTGCGAGACCTCACACCGAGCACATCTACTGCGGGTGTGGTGCCTGTTATCGGAGTTAGCAACATCCCCCAAAAACCCGAAGAGGAGAGTCCTGGCCCCTAGCCCTGCCAGTGTAGCAGAAATGATGAGGATGATGATGGCAGCAGCCGTTCTTTTCTGCGTGAGTAGCTTAAAGTTGTTCGTGTGTAATTTATGTTGAGTTGGCTAACCACATTATTACATTAATGCATGTAAGGTGAACTAGCAAACACCCTCGTAGTTACATGCGGCTGTCTTCTTGTTTGATGGCAGATACTCCCTTCACCCTGGCCAAAAAGGCTAAAATGACCAAAGAAAAAGTGGAAAACAGCTGAACATGAGAGGTTTTTGGACAAAGTTTGTTTTTTCCATTGTTTAAGCACTGCTTCCAGCCAAGAGTGATACCATATATTCCCTATAGCTGCATAAAAGGCTAGCATTGTTATCTTTTTACAAAAAAACAGCTGAACATGAGAGGTTTTGGACCAATTTTGTGTTCTCCATTCTTTAAGCACCGGTTTGAGCACCGTTTAAGCACCGGCACCATTTCAAAAGTACCGGTTTGGCACCGATATCGGATAAAACCTAAACGATACCCATCCCTAGTTACACACCATGTCAGCGGGGAGGAGTCCCATACATGAGCATATGTGAGTGCAGTACAGGCGATGCTGTGCTGTGATTGGTGTTTGAGTGCAGGTGTGTCTGCTAATAAAATGATTCATATGTAAATTAAACAGCCTCCTGTGTGACCTCCACTTACGCAGAGCTGCTTTACTGACTGAAGGACCGCTGCTTCAGGTTAACCCAGTGTTTAACCGGCATGCTTACATTCAATTCAATTTTATTTATATAGGGCCAAATCACAACAAAAGTCACCTCAAGGCGCTTCATAGAGAAAGGGGCAGGGCTACATCTTCTTACCAATCTAATTGTGATGTTCAGAGTTTCAGGTCAGCTGACCTTGTCACTGATTCTTTGATTTCCAGATGTTTTCAGTGAGACTTACTGATTTCATATGAACCACTGACTGAAGCTTAGACTGAGCGTCTCACTGTCACACCGCTGTGTTACTGAAACTGTTTATTATGTTGTGTGTAGATCTTTATCACCATCTGATGAAATCTCTGGTGTCTCTCATAGGGATCATTTTCTGTGGAAGATTCACATGACCCATGAAACACCTGTGATTGGTTCAACACTGCCAGCTCCACTGCTTTTATGTGACCGGCGGTTAACGCAGTGTGTTTATAACCAGCTCCCGTTTCCATGGTAACTCTGAATAAACAAGCAATTATGTCAGTTATTTGTTTGTAAACAAAAGGCGCCTTCGACTGACCACTCACAGCCCTGCTCTCCCTGCGCTCTGATTGGCTACTGTCGCCTGAACCGAGCTCTAATTGGTTGATTCTGACTGAAACTAACTAGCCGCGTGCTAACCTCCCCTCTTAAGCCTGGCTGGTTAAACTCACGCTAACCCCGACTTAAACCGGACTCGCGGTAACCATGACGACGCCGCTCGTCATGCTGCCGGTGACGTGGCTTTACCCTCACGGCAGCTGTTAGCATTAGCACCTGGCTATGCGGTAGCATGGTTAGCCCGCTAGGTCAGGCCGAAAGAGCAGCTGAGTGGCTGTCTGCGGGCTCGGTGCATTCACGTCAGGGCGGACAGAAACCGTTTACCTTCCGCTGTTTGTTGTTCTTCTTGCTTTTGTTCAGTTTCCACAGATTTAAAAGTGCTCCGCCGTCGCGCGTTGCTACCCCCCTCTGTTTAAGTTCCGGTCCGACTCTTCTTCCACGGATCCATTCGCTGCAACACAACGGGGGCGTGCCGCCGCCAGCAGGCCGCACGGAGAAGTGCAGCCTCTACAGCCCGGGTTCCAGGGTTTAAAAAATAAAAGTTACTTGTTTCTGTCCTCCAATCACAGCTCAAGTTGCACATTACATCATGAGCTTGGGATGAACATCACTCTGCACAGACTAATACAATGATTGATGAACTAGCTCAGGTGATGAAGCAGACTTTAATTGAATCCACTGAAGAGGATGCGTCAACTGAGTGTGCCCTAAATAAAGTTTGAGCTGACTAAGGCTATGTTCACACTGCAGGTCTGAATGCTCAATTCCGATTTTTTTTTGTCTGCTTGTTCACACTACAAATAAAATGCGACAGCAAACGCGCACTAGTGTGAACGCTCAAAGCGGCCGCATGCGCAAAAGAAGACGTCACACACACACAACGTGCTCTGTTTAGACCCAGAGCAAATAGTATTGTTTGACTGATGGCCTTAATATAAAGACTTTGGACTTTACGTTTCCCAATTTTTGCTTGAAGTTATTTTGTTATTTTCATAATAATGTAGATAACCTAATAATGATCCTTATTGCCGTTTTAGAGGAGCGCTGCTTCAAAGGATAGCTGCAGATTTCTGTCAGAATCTGCAGATTATACAGAACAAAGAAAATGTTCACGTTTCTCCAACGTTGTCTTCCCAACAGTTTCACTGACATCTACACTGGATGGCCAGGAAGCGTTGGCGATGTGTTCTCGGGCGCTGATAATTTGTGTCTGTCTTGTGTCAGTGACGTAAGACTGATATAATGCAACATGACCGTTCAAACAGTAGTCACTTTCTAAAACATTGGATATGTATCGGATTCAGTACCACATACGAAAGGGACCCAGATCGGATTTGTGCTGTTCACACTGTCATACCATGGTCTGATATGGGTCGCATAGGGTCAAAAATAAAATAAAATCGGATTTGATGCGCTTTCGCCTGCAGTGTGAACGTAGCCTTAGTGGTTTAATCTTAGGCTTACTTGCACCTGAGTTAGGATCACCTTTGAGTTTACCTGAAAGCACCCCTGAGCTCTACCTGCTCAGTGCTACAGGTCCCTTAACCACAGGTGTGAGTGTGTGTACAGGTGAGTCAGACACAGTGTATGGTGCAGAGCTTTTATTTCAGATTTTATTGAATGCAGCGACGTCCATCGACTGTACGAAGTCCTCGAACTCCGTGATCTTCTCCTCCAGGATGTCAGTGCCCACCTGAGACAGGTGACATCACACAGGTGAGCTCACACACAGGTAACAGCATTTACTGCTGCAGGTGTGTCACAGGTGATCTAATCAACCTGACAGACACCTGATCAACAAGCAGTAACAGGCCACTCACCTTGTCATCCTCCACCACACAGTTGATCTGCAACTTCTTGATGCCGTAACCCACGGGAACCAGTTTGGCTGCAGGACAGATTAAGCAAAGTTATCGATCAGTGACTACAAGCTGCAGCCATCGGGTTATTGGTCAGTGATCAGAAGCTCTCAGATCAATACGAGTCCATCAGTGATCAGCGGAAAGATGGTGAGTTAGATCATCAGTGAGCCTGATCAATATTACACTTACACACACACACACACTCATGTGTCTACAGGAATCACACCCACTCTGATCAATAACCTATTATCAATAAACAGTTCAGAACATCAAAATGAGCCTGTACCAAAAATATTTATCACGATATACATTCAAAAATTTGCAATAACGCTATAAGTGACGATATAATTGACACGAGACAATATACTTTACAACTCCACAACTTTATTAGGGCAAAACAAATAAAAATAAAAACAATGTATTTTCACTTCAACAAGCAGCCGGTTTTTATGTGCATCAAAGTTATATAAATATTTAACAGTGCAAATGCAAATTCTTCGCTGACAGTTTAACCAAAAGGCATTTCCAGTGGAAACTGGCCGACATATCCTCAGCATAACCATGTATAATGTCCACAACACTTAAGAGGTTATACACACACACACACACACACAGTAATATTATGTCAAAGCACAGTACGTATCGCTCCGCTTACGATAGCCGTAATGCTCCGACAATCCATCAAGCGGTGCAACTTTGTAGCTTAGCAAAGTCGTACTGAAACATTTGACAGATTTTCAAGCGCCGTGTACATAAAATAGTTTCGAGGTCAGTAAACACAACCAGAGTTCATACATAAGGCACACGGGATTATAAGGGGCACTGTCGATTTTCAGAAAAATCAAAGGACTGATTTTAAGTGTGCCGTATTTTCCAAACAACATGGTAATAACGACGGCCCGCTAGCATGCGCTACCAAAAATAGTGCTTTGTTGTGTATCTGACGGACGAAAGCTAAACCAGTTCCACACCACTGAGGTTGCAGCATTTTTACAAACCAACTTTCGCCCTTCTCATTCTCAGTCATGCTTTTGGCGCCATGTGCGTATGAAAACAAAGGCACTGTGCATGCGCGTTTTTCCCATATTCTATCGCGATATTTCATTTTCTTTTTGGTGCCCAACATTATACCGGCATTACCGTGAACGGTATGATATGGCCCAACCCTAGCCTGTAATGATATATAATCATTACTTCAGGTGTCACAGGTATACTGATCCACCCAATAACTGATCAGCTCCATTGATCCATCAGTACTCATCTATAATCAATGATCACAGCGTTATCAATGACTGAACTGAGAGAGTACTGATCAGTACCTCACTACTGCTCCGAGTGTTAGACACTACTACTACCACCACATCATCTGGTACAATGATTACTGTAATGCTACTGCAGTGCTACCAGTAGTATTACTCTGTGCAGTACCCACACCAGCCCATCTATCCAAATACTGACTCCAACCCTGTGTGTAATACTTTGACCCCACAGTGGTGTGTGTAGTAGTGTATGCAGTAGTACTCACACTGGCCCCACACCAGCCCGTCCATCTGGATACTGCGTACGCACTCTTCGAGCTTCGCCATGTCAGTCTCATCGTCCCACGGCTTCACGTCCAATAGAATCGAAGACTTGGCGATGACTGCGGGCTCTGCAGGACAGGGGAGTGGTTAGTTACTGTGGAAACTGAGCGAGCCACGAGCCGTGCGAGGGTGGGACTCGTCAGGCAGAAAAGGCGTCCATCAGGCGTCAGCCGAAAGATGGTGATTGGTTAATCATCACAGAGTCTGTATTATGCATTGGCTGCGAGGGGGGCGGACCTACTTTTAGACTTCTTGGCAGCGTAGGCGGCGAGACGTTCCTCCTTCAGCCGGGTCGCCTCAGCATCTTCCTGTCAAACAAAACTCAGGTTAGAGTGACCATGACACTGTAGCGTCATGGTGACATCACCACCTCCTCACCTCCTCATCTGAACCAAACAGGTCGATGTCATCATCGTCCTCGTCTTTGGCTGTGGTGGGGGCGGAGCCTGAGGTGGTGTCGGCCACTCCGAGGGGCCCGTACTGACCCAGGGGCTTCTTCACACCTGGAAGACTAAAACAGGAGGCGGGGCTTAGTTGCTGCCGCCAGCACACCGGTATTCACCCCATGATGTCAGCAGCGCTCACCTGCTCTTCTCGCTCTGGTAGGACCGGATGTGGTTGTACCAGCGAACTGCGTGGTACAGGTCAGCAGGGGGCGGAGCCGAAATAGCTTCGAAGACCGCCACGTCAGCCTGGGAGGGTACGTACCTGAGGAGAGAACACATGACCTTGGTTAGGGGTACTCCAAGAGCAGGTGCAGGACTTCACTCAGTCCACGTGAGTCAGCGCGCAGCCTCGCGGCGCACAGCCGTTAGCTGCATGCGGCTAACGGACTAACAAGCTAACAGCTTGTCACGTCAAACGGAAGTGAATAAAAACGGCATCGGCCCGGACCCTACCCCTCCTTCCAAGACTGGTGCACCTCTCGCGCCAGATTACCGTCCCCTTTCCGGTTTCATTTCTTTAGCGCTTTAATCAAGGCAGCTAACTGTTAGCTCAGCATGGACCCAACATGACGGCTATTTTGGGTCGCAGTTTCTCCCGCTTTACGGCGGTTCCCGGCACTCACCCTTCGATGTAGCTGCGGTCGGACAGGAAGTCATTGAGCACTTTGAGGCCGGAGGCTGACTTCAGGTCACCGAAACCCATGATGAAGAGGAACCGCGAGGATCCGCCGGAGGAGAAAGAAGAGGGAGGAAGAGGAGCGGGGATCCTCTTTATAGGAGGAGACAGACTCCTCCTCAGAGGAGTGCTGGCGCTCCGCCCCGAGGAGGAGGGAGGAGGAGGAAGGCGTTCCCAGTCCAAAACATCTGCTGACAAGAGCCGGAGAGCGCGGGTTCGAGTCCAGCTCAGGACACGTGACAAACGTTAAAGAGCGACCAATGAAGAGGCAGCACGCTCTGTAGCCTTATTTAGTGAATCATTAGAGCAGACCGAGGAGACTGTGGCTTTGGAGCTGTGTAACTAAAGTAATTATTACCGGTATGTATCTACGGTTACTTCATCAGCAGCAGCAACGATCCAGCTCAGCTGCTCCTCTGACTGATGTCAGATCAGTCAGACATGAATAATCGATGGTCCGTTTCATGATGGCGATGTCTCAGTCCTCCTCAGTAACCTGATAAAGTAACTCCTCCTGCAGGTGTTGGGGTGCTTCAGTGTTTCTGCATCTCATCGTGTACCTGAGCTCAGCTAGTCCTGGATCAGCATCAGTATCACATCACCCACAGCTCACCCACAACAGTCAAACCTTCATCTTACATAAACTTCATCCTGCTGTCTGATGTCACAGATAATGTCACTGATGTTGTATATCATCATCTCCATCATCTCCAGCCTGATCTCCAGAGAGAGTAAGATGGACGCTGCTGTCAATGACCATAACATCATCTTCATCAGCAGCAGCGGAATTCACTCAGAGTATTGTTATAAAATCACGCAGATCAGTCTTCACTGTCGCACTTTGATGACATCACACAGCCTGAGACAGGCTATGACAGGCAGGTGAGAGGGAGCAGGTGGTCAGAGTCAGTGACAGATATGAAGCTGAGGTATCGAAATCAGCAGGTCATCAGACTGATGTGACCTCAGTAACGGCTGTGGGGGTTCGAGCGATCCCTGGCAATCCCAAAATGTGACCTCAGTAGAGTGCACACCATCAACTGGCCAGTCAGGGCTAGAAGAACTGCAGGTCTGTTTTACTCAGACCTGCAGTTCTTCTAGTTCTTTTTCTGGATAACAGCAAACACTAGCCTTCCTGCAGGCACGCAATAAGAGCACACTCAGTGAAGATCATCAGTTTTATCCTGTTCAGACATCACACTCCTCTGTAACCGCAGCCATTTTTATTTCAGTTCTACTTGAACTGATCCTAGTACAGTATTTAACTACTGTAAAGTACTACACAATACAATTCTGGTAACAGTAACAGTTCTCAGCTCACTTCCTGTTTCTGAGCCTCTAGTCAGACTCACCTGAAGCATGGCTCAGGACACAACAGGAGATGGTCGGTGCTACACTTTGTACCTGAACAGATGTGCGCACAGCTGGTTTAAACCTCTGATCAGATCACACCTTCTGTTGCTCTAAATGATGAGCTCTTTATAATGACATCACTGACATTAACAAACAACTACAGCGTTTATGTAAAAGCACCGCATTACTTTCCTGTCTCTAAGATAGCTGTGAGTCCTCAAACCGACATATGAAAGCAGATGTTTCTGTCACCTGTCCCAGGGTTACCCACAGGTGTGACTCACACCTGTCCAGCTTCACTTTCATTGGCTGTCTGTGTGGTTCAAACTCAGTGTTTCCATTCAAAGTAAGATCAGCAGCTGCTTGCAGTTTGTTCACAGGTCCAGGAGAGGGCACTCTCATTCCACTCTACATATTGACCAACCTGCTAAAACAAACTTTTATTTATTTCATTAATTTAATTCTGACTGACTCTCTTTCCCATGATGCACCACTACTACCAGTTCTGTGGTTCTTCCATCTGCCAAACCCCACTGTACACTCTCGTTTACCTGTCCAAGTGTGGAGGCAGCAGTAAATACAGATGTTCAGTCAGACCCTCAGTTTAAATAAAGTTTGTGTTACTCTATTCTGATATGAGTATCACCTGAAACGTACAGGTACTGGTTTTGTACTCTAAGTATTTTTGCCCCTTTATTCAAGTAAAGTTGTACTTGTCCCTTAAATACCGTAGTGTGTACCTGTGCCACCTCAGGCTGTAACACACCTAGACATGATGTATTTACCGTAATTGTCGGGCTATAAGCCGCTACTTTTTGCACAAGCTTTGAACCCTGCGGCTTTTAGTCAGGTGCGGCTTTTCTATGGATTGTCCATGATTTTTGTGATATCGTAAGGTGATTTGTTTTGTTTGTTCCGCTGTTGTCCGGCACTACGTTGCCTGGCAGAAGGGCATGTGATCAGACACACAGTATCGGGGTTCAAGAGTGGTATGTTGGTCACATGTCCGTCCGCCAGGCAACATAGTGCCGGACAAGTAGCGCGAAAAACAAACTTCAAAGTAGCGCTACGCGTTCAGCGGGAGGCGTGGATGACGAGCAGCGATAAACTTGCGAAAAGCAAGTTATGCTCAACTCCACTGGTGGATTCTGACAGCGTGGAAAAGTGTGAAAACATCCATGATCACCTACGGATTTCGAAGGGCTGGACTGCTGCATGATGGAGAGGACACTGCCACGGCCCTTCTGAGGGTGTTCGACTCTGACACTGGTTTTGAAAGTGACAACGAAGGAAAGGAGCCGAGAGTGGATGACGAAGCCATCCTGAGCCTGTTCGTTTCCGACACTGGAGAAGAGGACTTTGGTGGTTTTAGTGCGCGGGAAGAAGAGAAAGATGGTGGTGAATGACTGACTTTTCTTCTTGTTAAAGCCGTGTCGCTGCACCTGAGCCTAAAAGGTAGTCCGAATCTATTTTTCTGGTGTGCTGTAGGTTATTGTTATGTACTACATTTGTTACTCATTTATGAAGCACAGTACATGTTTCGTACTTGTAATTACCGCTACTTGTACATATACCTAAAAAGTTATGCAAATATGTACCCATAACTTGTTTTTCAAAATATTAATAAGCAGCTTCCCCGTCCTCTGGCTGAACTCGTACATG